TATCTTTTTTTTTCGAAAACTGCTCAATGGATGTTTCCGACACAGAAAGTTAAGTATCTAAACAGCTTGTTAAAGCTATCCCGACAATGATCCAAAAACCAGAAGTAGTCGAAAAAATATCCGATATTTTGAAAAAATGCAAAAAATTTATGATTTTTGCTAAAAATGCGATTTATAGCCTAGTGAATTGACTTTCGTATGCTTCCTTCGGGTTTGTTGCCTGAAAGCCGATTCAGCACTGCCAAGCAGGTCTAGTTTGTTTTACTTTGTAAGACGCTGGCTCGCTAGCCTAGAGGTCGAGTGTTCGATCCTTGCATTGGCCGAGAAAGTTCATCCAGATTTTCCGGCGTGGTTCCCCCTTGTCAGTGATGCAGGACGGTGGGGGGGCTGACAAGGACAGCTGTCTAGTCCTTCGGATGAGACGAAAAACCGAGGTCCCCTGTATACATTGGAATTGCACGTAAAAGATCCCTTGGCAGTTGGAATTCGATATAAGAGTAGGCGATAGTGCCGCTGCCCGGGCAAAATTTCCCTCATAGCACACTCTATGGCGTATGCCCGTCTTCATTAGCCCAGCATAGGAGCAGAACAGTAGGACATTAAACCCCATTTCATTTCATTTCGTTTTACAAGCGCCACAGAGCAGTTTTACAAGCTGGATTTTGGCGCTCTACAAGTTCAATTTCAATAAATTATCATTATCATTTTATTTACGAATTTGACCTAAATATTCGAACAGCTTAGATCATTCCGATTCCAGAAAGATAAGTTTCATTTTCACTGATGACCGACCACTGTCTTCAAGAGTTCAAATAACCGTTGATTATCAACATTACATATGCTATCTTGGTTAAAAATCACGAAGTTTTTGTGACAAAATAGGATGTTCATCGTAGGAAAGGTGCGTAACTGGTATATAATTTTGCAGGATCAGGCACGGACGTCCATAACTGTATGGGTTAGGATTGCAAGATTTTATATCAGTACAATTTAACTGAAGCAGCGTTTTTTCAGCAATGACCAACGATTATCTCCAAATCTATACGTTTCGTTATTTGAAAGTGTCTCGTGTCAAATAGGTCATTTTGTGTAAATCAAAATATTTTCGTGACAAAATCTGACTTTCACGCTCGCTTGGTAGTCATATGAAAAAGGGGCATAAGTCGTCTATGATTGATTTTGCAGGGATCACAAACTTTATATACATGTATCTATTGTCCACCTGCTCATGTAAGAAAAAGTACCATTAAAAGAAACATTAAAGTGTAGGGAGATTCAATGTCTGGTATTGAAATCTCTGATGGGGAAGGTGGCATACATCACAACGAGATTTATGGTACCGCATGTGCCAACCTCCTACATATACCTACGTTCCTATATTCGAGTGTAAATGCTGTCTGATCTTCCTTCCTTCAAGTTGACTGTTGTACGCAAAAGTCGAATTAAACGCGACATTTCGACGCTTTGTCGGACCCTCACGCCCATGGGAAGGGGACCCGCAACTTAAGAATCAGGGTTCAGAGTATTGGGCAACGCTGTCCACGCATCTAGCATAGTAGAAATTTTGTACGCGATTTTCGAAACAACTTTGGTTCTCTACCACTCAAGAACTATCGCGGTTCGGTTGTCCGGTTCTCCACGGAACATTTCCAGCCACGAGAACGTACTGACGATACTGCTGCGAACCTTCCGCAGCTATTGACAATGCAGTAATCCTTCTCCGGAGAGCTGAAATATGCCCACTCTGAATCGTTTATTATATTTAACATTTCATTACCATATCATATTCATATAAGATGATTTATTATGTGTGAACTGCATGGACCTTATTCCTGCTCTAACACTTAGATTTAAGATCATAAGGTCTGTCATTGAGTTAAGTGACGTGACAGCTTGAAGGTAGCATGGTGTAGTGTTGTTTGTCCATCCTCATGGGTTTTCTCTTTTCGCTCAAGCGAATTATTGAAGTAAAATTGTACCATATATTATTTCCAAAATGACCTAGTATGTGTCGGGGGGACCTTAAACCCCCACTTCTCCCTTGAGTCAAATTCATCTTTGCTAACGACTGAGGAATATTTTAACTTTGTAAAGATGTCCATAGATATGCATCACCATATGTTAGTCTCATAATGAACTAGTTTGTTTCCAGTGGACGCTAAATCTCATTTTACTCTGTTTCTCTTATGTCTAAATCATGACTAAATGGAATATATTAAATTTGTAAAGACGTCCATACATATATTTCGTCTGGGGTATTAACCAACGGAACATTCCTCCTGTTTTTATTATGCCTGTTCAGGTCATTTTTTTTTTAAAATGTTTTTAGTAGGGAGGTTGCTAGTTGTTGGTAACATTCAAATGTGTCTCTAGTCCCTGCAAAGAACGAGCTATAGCATCTCTAGTTCCGCTCTTAACGTAGGTCTCATTACTCTCGCCATGTACGTCTTGAATCCTTGGCGAAACTTCCCAGTCAATTTTACTGGGCAACGGTTTACTGCTAAATGGTGGGGTGTCAATCCGTGTGAACGCCTATACAATGTAAAGGGACATCTTAGTGAGAAACTAAGACCTAGCTTACCTCGCTAGAGTCAGTATGAGCGACACAACACGCTGTTAAAAAATCCGCACCCGTCTTCTAACCGACTTATCGGACTTCACTGAAATCTAAATATAGGGTAACGCACAAATTTACGAACTCGGCCATATAAGATGAAACGAAATTTAGGTAAGCCTGGGGGAAAAAATAGGGATTTTGGAAACAATTTGATTATAAATTATTGTAATTGGGCTAGGCAAAGCAATAAATGACTGAAGATTCTCAACTTTTCAAAGATTTCAATTGTTTTCTCCCAGGATTACCTAAATTTCGTTTCATCTTATATGGAATTTCCTACATCTTCTCACTAAAAGAACTACATGGCTATCTACCTTAGTACGCACATTCTATTAATCATACATGTATATTCTCAGATTCACGGTCATTAATTATTCTATTTGCTAGTTATTATGATGTAATTAATCATGTGATTGGTCACTCATGCCAAATATGAAATGGTAACTTTCCGATCACGTGCTTTTAGACATATTCTATCCTTGAACTTTGACCCCTTTTCCTGTTATTCTCACAATATTTCATAAACAAATTAATTTGCGTTTTAAATCAACTCATACCATACCTAATATACTGACAATGGAGAATAGACATAAACATGTATTTATCAAATTATAAATCATATCCTCTCGTGCACTTATATTTGTCGAATACAATTTTGCATAAATTATCAAATAGTACTACAAATTGCTCTATTAGTGGGCTACCAGGTGTCACTACGGCGATATTTTATGATTTCGAGCAAGATTAGACACCTGTTCCTCTCAAACCTCGCCCATATTTTTTCAAACTTTCTGTATAGATAGTATAATGGGTTATCTGTTGCACAAAACCGTTGTTCAAAAATTTGAAATATCAGAACTAGGTGAAAAAAGGTAAAAAATGGTCAAAATCGGTAGAAATTGTCTAAGTAGATAGAGAGATTTTGTCCAGTGACAATTGAGTGTTTTACTGTTAACCAATGCAAATAACTCATTTTAGTAAGTAATAATTTCCCTTCGAATTAATTATTTTTGACATTCCTCGTAGATCTCAAAGACTGAGTTCTAAATATTGATTTTTTTCCAGTGAATGCTGTGAATGGTTGGTACTTAAAACTATCTCGAAAGTTGTGAGCAGACCGGAAGGAATGTAAATCTTTAACGTGCACGAAAATTGAAACTCGGCCGCAATTTCAAACCGATTTTTATATATATTTGTATAGCCGAGGACATTATTGATCAGATAACAGTAACTATGATATTGCCATTTTCCCGTGAAAATTTAATTTCTTTTCCAAAATTGTTATTTCTTGGAATTTTGAGATTTCAATTATATATTTGGATAGCCGACGTTTATCCCATTCCAGCAATATAAGTTATTATTTTTTTCCATTCCGCCTATTTCTCAGAAACTATAAGAGATTGAGATCTGATGTTTAATTTTCATTCGGGAAAATGGATGGTGGTTATTGCTTAAAGCTATTTCGAAATTGGTGAGAATAGAGAAAATGCGTCAAATCACGAAAATTGAAAACCAGCCATAATTCTGTTATATAGTAATATTGTGTAGCAGGAGACGCTGTTGATCCGAAAACAGTTCAAAACGAAATAATTAATCAATAGGAAATATTATTTCGTTTAACTGATGGAAATCTTTAACGTGCTCAAAAATTGAAAATCGGCAATAAGTCTGTTAATTTGCAACCGATTATTTTTGAGAAAGTCATATTTTTGTATAGCCGGAGAAAATGTTGATTATATAGCAGTTCAAAATTGCCAAATTTAAAAACTATGAATAGTATGATGTTCCCATTTTCCCGTGAAAATTCGAAAATTTACAAAATTTTCTGTAATTGTTATTTCTAGGAATTTTGAGATTTCAATTACACATTTGGATAGCCGACATCGAACGATTCCAGCGACATGAGATGTGTTGTAAATTGTTAAACTTTATTTATCATTTTCCTTTTATTGTAATGCTTATACGAAGAAAATGTGAATATCTTAGTTATGTGTGTGTGTAGGGGATGGTGTGTGGGGGGTGAGGGGGGGGGGAGTTTGTCTTGTATCCGCTCAACGTGGCGTTTCGGCGTCGTAAAAGTCTTCAGCATTGCGTGCAATTCTAGTTAAGCTTTGATATTTATATTAATATTTTTGTTTCCATTTCAGCTATATCTCAGAAACTGTAAGAGATAGAGGTATGAAGTTTGATTTTTTTCCGTGAGAGTGTGGTGCAGTTAGTATTTTTTCGAAAATTGTACGCATAGCGGATACGTTTCGTCTATTTGTGTTTCGTGATTCCATATGTCGCGATAATCTTAGTATGTTTTGAAATCCATATACAAAATTACCGGAAGCCATGCACACTTTAGAATGTGTCAATGAAATAAATAGAAAGTACTTACGGTAGAGTGTGAATCCTCGGCATGAGATTGATTTTCTATTTTCATTAGATGAACCTTAAAACTTGGAAAGCACCACGACTTCCTAGGAGGCCATTACGCTTCTAAATGTCAGAAATAATTCGTAATTAGGTCGCTTTGAAATAACAAACAACAAACCTATTCAATCTTGTTCAATCTAAATTAACCAAACGAGAGTAGAAGATCAAAGGGGGAAAAATACAAAATATAAATAGCACACTTGAATGGTTGTCTAGTAGATGAAACAGCATATACTTCTGATATAATGTGTAAATGGAAATTGTTCACCTTTCATCAGTGTCAGAAGATTTTTTTTTAAAAAAAACGTCCACGCTATTCTTTTGTCTTGCCTTTTCTATTTCAATATCAGTAATGAAACGTGGTCTTTTAGTATTGATAAAGGGCAGCTAATATGTTGGTCCTCACGGAGAATTTGGTAGAACACTACAGTAATAGACAGTTGAATAGTTCATTGACTAAGAGAGGTTTAACACCCGTTCATTCCTTGCTTCGGTATCACAAAATGAAATCGACTTATCTCTTATCCAAGCAGAGTGAAAAAGACTTACATGACCGTGTATATCTGTGGTGTATCTATAAGCCAGATATCTGATTGGTTAGCGTAGGATTGTTTTAGAGAAAGTAATCAATATTAAAAATCGCAAGGCGTTCATGATTGTAGTACATGTATACGCTGTCTACATTTATTGCTTTACATTCAGATTTTTCTGTCCCAAATTGTTAATGAAGACCAATTCGGGACCTTAGAATTAATTCTTGAGGATTATGCAAGATTATATTTTAATGGTTTAATGGAAATTAGAAAAGAATATTTCTTTATAACATCTATTTACAGGTATGGAAGATTATTGGCCATCCAAATACTTTTCTGATTTCGTGATCATTTAATGCGTTAAAGTTCAGACCTGTTGAAGGGCGACTAAACAATTCATATCAAAGAATAAGTCATTTCATACATACCCAGTTAACATTGATCGCTAGATTCACATAAATTTTACGTCATTTTGGTTAGAGTCGAATAATGGTAAAATTGTACGGTTAAATTGACGTTACTTTTACGTCAGAATGGTTATGGTTACATTTGCGTCAGAAAATGACGCAAATCTAACGTAAATTCTATGAGGGTTTTGTAACCAATGTTTTTTGCTTCGAATACTTGGGGATTAAATAACCATACCAGTGTGTGTACATTCTAACAACTGATAAATAGTTGGACTTCTGACATAATAATGACATATGTATTATTGGTTATCAAACGTTAATCTAACGTAAATTATACGTTAGGATTCTAACCGTTAGTTTATGGTTAGTTTTCTAACGTAATTCTGATTTATGTCAGAATTTTAACCGTTGTTGTCAGGATACTAACAATTGAATTACTGTTACTTTTTGATCGTTAACTAACAATTAAATTACTGTTCCTTTTTGATCGTTAGTTATCTAACCATAATCTAAAATTAGTTTTCAAACATGTCCGGAATAATCCAATGAATTCAAATTACCAATATTCTAAATTGTAAGCATTCTGGTAGTCAACGTGAACAAAATCTGTTAATAATTGCAACCTGTAAAACATTAACAAATAGTGGCTCTGCAGGGGGTTTGATATAGACCAATATAATTAGGTAGAACCCTATGAAGGCTCATGCCGAAATGGAACAAAATCTGTTAATAATTGCAACTTGTAGAGTATTTACAGACAAAATATTAACAAAGAAGTATGTTTGCCACCGACCTAAGGGGAGGAGGGCAGATCATGCAACAAAAACAATAATTGCCGTCCTTAGGGTATAAGGAATAAGTATACCAAGTTCCAAGATAATCCATTCAGAATAATTGTGGACTGTATTAAATAAACACAAAAATTGGTGGTGGCCATGCCCCGGCAGGTCGGGATATGCACCATAATCAATAGTTGCCGCCCCTAGGCTATGCAGAAATACATAAGCCAAGTTCCAAGATGACCAATTCAGAATTGCGGCCTGCATACGATATACGAAATTGGATATGGCTCTGCCCCTAGGGGTCGACATACACCAAAATCAATAGTTGCCGTCATTAGGCTATATATACACACAGTTCCAAGACCATCCATTAAGAATGGCAGCCTGTAGGCAACACACAGACACACAAAGAAAAAAATGGGTGTGGCTCTGACCCTAGGGGATCGGCATTAACCAAAAGCAATAGGGATCATGCAAAGTTTCAAGGGAATCTGTTAAGAATTGTTGCATGTAAGGCGACACAAGCACACACATCCTTAAATAGGGTGTAAGGAATAACTATGAAAAGTTTGAAAATCGCGAATTCCAACTGTCAATGGTTCTTGTGCATGCACACGAACTTGAGCACAAGATCTGGGTTTCCCGTCCTATCCATACTACTAGACACTGTCCTTGCAAGCTCCTCTGTCCTACACCACTTACAAGGGGAACTTTCTCGACCAACACGGGGATCGAACCCTTCGTTCGTTATCCAGTTCGATAAGAGGGAGCTTAGAAACACTGACATGTTCCGACACCCTATCAGACTCAAGGCCGATAAGCGAGATTTTTGTCAGGCAAAAAGAAACACATCAAGTGGTCTGATAGGCCTCCCTCGACACGTGGCGAGTGGGTGTGGTCCTGCTTTTTGAGGATTTGGACTGTTTGATTGTTCACTTGGGCTTCTTAGTGCTGAATGATGGAATTGTCTACATGATATATACACAGCGAGATCCAGGAAATCTAAAAATAGCCAATATTGAGGACCCTAGTACTGTCTGCCAGTACAGTCCCGCAGACTATCAGTCGTCCAACGGTGTATCTGTGCTGTCAAACCTACCTTTCGCTGTCGGTGGAGTCAGTGACAGATTTTATAGGCGGCAACCCCTGTCCTACACCACAGACAATGTGGAACTTTCTCGACCAACACCAGGATTTAATCCCGGAGGGGTTAGCTAGAATGTTACTCATTGAGCCCCTGTGGCTCATTCAGAAAAAGGAGGTTAAGAATGTTGAATAGTGACAGGGTTTGTCCTCATGATCGCAAAGTCTCACACCAAATTTGGAAAAGATTGTTCACTTGGGCTTCTTAGTGCTGAATGATGGAATTGTCTACATGATATATACACAGCGAGATCCAGGAAATCTAAAAATAGCCAATATTGAGGACCCTAGTACTGTCTGCCAGTACAGTCCCGCAGACTATCAGTCGTCCAACGGTGTATCTGTGCTGTCAAACCTACCTTTCGCTGTCGGTGGAGTCAGTGACAGATTTTATAGGCGGCAACCCCTGTCCTACACCACAGACAATGTGGAACTTTCTCGACCAACACCAGGATTGAATCCCGGAGGGGTTAGCTAGAATGTTACTCATTGAGCCCCTGTGGCTCATTCAGAAAAAGGAGGTTAAGAATGTTGAATAGTGACAGGGTTTGTCCTCATGATCGCAAAGTCTCACACCAAATTTGGAAAAGATCTGTCAAAGCCTGTAGCCTCCATGTGGCATAGCAAAATAGAAATCAAAATTACTAATTAAGATGTGCATATTCAGTGTGCTATGACAGAAATTATGCCTGGACAGCAGCATTTCCGCATATAGTCATTAACAAGAGTTTTTTTACGTGCACACCAAACTGTACAAGAGGTATCGTATTTGTCCGTGGGCCAAGTAACTTTAATTTAACATGCTATTCCATTACCTAGGAACCAATAACTGAACCAGCATAGTAAATTATGTAAAAAAAAAGATATTATTTTATTGTGTATGAGTCTGATGAGTGGGTTTTTTTTTTGGGGGGGGGGGGGCAGAAATTAAATGCCACAAGAAAAACTTGTGTGGTCCGTCCGCAAACTCATTTTGCTGCTATTCCATGCTGCGAGTACAGCAACTTGGTAGTGGTCCAATACATAGCCTTATTTATGTTTATGTAGTTTTGCAACCGAAACCCCAAACCAAAATAAAGTCCAGATTTTTGACTAGGGAAACATAAAGTAAATGCAGAAAAAAATCTTGTTTGAAGTGTCCACAGATCCGCGGTCTTCGACGCTGGTCATCGAGTACCAAAACAAATAATGATAATACATGAAAAACTGTAAGGCCTGCTGTCCTGCGTTACCGGCAGCTGTTTCCGCGTGTGACTTTATGTATTTGTAAAGTTTGTAAACCCACATAAATGGCGTTATAAGTGAGATTTCCTCTTTAGAACAGGGAGCCCGACATTGGTTATGTTTAGCCGCCGTCTTTTTATAAAAACAACATTAGCAGCATCAAGACCGGTTGATTGACAGACTGGAAGATGATATATGTTTGTACGACACAACAAAAAAAAAAGACCACAGAAATAAGCCTGTGATCCAAAAAACTATTTGTAGCCATCGGAAGAACGTGAACATGTGGTTGGGCACGCATGTACACACGGTTCGGCACGAAGGTCTTCACTTCATGTGAAAAAAGAAAAGCTGTGAAAAGTGCTTATCAGGAGACTTATTTTTCGTGTGCGGAAATGCGTACATGGAAAACAGGCCTAATGCCTAAAGCAGAGTGACTAATGAAGAATTGGCCTAATGCTATATAGCCAAGGTTTATTACTGGTACACTAGTTTTAAAAAGTCTTAAATTCTAAATGTAATCCATTATGGCATTTGTCAATTTAAAGAAATAAGAATCCTGGAAACACTGATAAAACAAATAATGATCGTTGCCTAAACAATGTTGTACAAAACAGCTATAGAGTATTACTCTAAGATTGGTGCTAGACACTGTTTGTTACACTAGTAACATTAGTAAATTTCTGGGTTTGGATTCCCAGCTTGAATGTGACAAGGAAATCCACGTGGGGTTAAGTGAGTAAGTCTTTGGCTGGTTAAAAGTCCCGTGTTTGATCTCCGATTGACCGAGAAATTCCTCCAAAATTGATGAAGCATATATGGATTATACATGAAAAGTGCCTCACAAAGTATTTAGTCAACTAATCCTACCGGATTCGTGAAAATGCCTAAATTAGTTGTTGTTATAAATGAATATGAACGTCATCCTTCTTTGAATGTGCATTTATCGATCGGAATAGGCGGGCACAGCGAACGATACTGCCATACTGTTGACGCAAGATTGCTAACTGACATGAAA